CCCTCTCCTCCTTGTGAGCCCCGTTTTCCTCTTTATTGCCGCCTCCACTCACCCCTTTCCCTGCCCCACCCTCTCACAGACGAGAGATAGCTAGAGGGAGTCCATCTCCTTCAACCCAGTATACATGAAATGTTGAAGGTTATTCTGAAGAAGAGGAAGTGATGTTCACGCAGAACCCCTTGAAGAAGAAGAAGAAGAAGAAGAAGAAGAAGAAGAAGAAGAAGAAGAAGAAGAAGAAGAAGAAGGAGGAGGAGGAGGAGGAGGAGGAGGAGGAGGAGGAAAAAGGAAGAAGAAAAGGAGGAGGAGGAAGAGTAAAAAATATGAACAATAAAATGGCAATTAGTACATATCTATCAACAATTTAATCTAAAAAAACAATAACCAAGGAATCTATTGAACAAAATAAACTGATGAATAAAATAGAACCAGAGGCATGGAAACATGGAACAGACTGAGGACTGATGAATCTCAGAGGGAAAGGGGGAGAGGGGGTGGGAAGAGATTAAAAAAAGATCTTATGTGCTATACACATTTCCTATGGACACAGACAATAGGGTGGTGAAGGCCTGGGGTGGGGCAGGAACTGGCTGGAGAGGGTCAATGGGGGGATAGAGGGAGGCATCTATATTCTCTTAAAAATAAAGATTAAAAAAAAAGAATAAAGATTCCCAGGCCTGACTGCCAGAGACTTGATTCAGAAGTATGGAGTGGGGACAAGGAAACTAAATTTGGGAAAAGTTCCTCAGTTAATCCTGACCATTAGTTAGACATGTGAACCAATGGTGCTAAATCATTCACCAGAGCTAAAGGTAGGAGTTACCAGTTCTACAAATCAGCTGTAATTAGGTATGTCTCTCAGGCCTCAATGTGAAACTAAGTGGAAGGGCTTCAGTTGCCAACTGTTTTAAACAGGTAAAAATTTTCTTTAAAGAAATGAAGTGATCTTGAAGGCTACCCTTAAATGGAGAATGGGACAAGATATTTTGGTGCACCAATTATTGTGTGACAGCAACCAATATAGTACTTCAGAGGTCTCCTGCATGAGACAAGGGACTGAGAAGGAAGGGATATATCTAATGTGCCTGCAAAATTATGCTAGCCCCTCAGCCAATAGTTTGTTTTTGAATAAATGCATGTACGAGTTTCTTCAAGCACCTCACTGCTTTTTCTGGGATTCTTAGGTTCAGAAACTTATATATTATATATAAACTCAACTATTTTTCATGATGTTTATATTTTATTTATTTCTTCCCCCTAGCTATTGTAGTAAAGTTTCTTTTGAAATTGTCAAGTTATCTTGGGAAATAAGGGAAGCATTCATTACATTTTGGCTAGAGGATAAGAGGGACATATCTTATCCCCTTACTTGTGGAGATTATGATTTGTGGGAATCAAAGTAAGAAGACCCTAAGAGGGAGGCACAAACTCAGGGATAAATATATAGCCAAACTTTTCCCAATAGAGGCCATAATGGTGCTGCATATCTAGGAGGTTACCTACTTGTGCTTTTGCTTCTTTCTTTGTCATTTGATACCACTGGTATTCTCACTTGTTCATTTAAAAAAAGTGTTTTGTGGTCTCTAGGGGCCTCCTGTCACTTAACCAATCAAAATAGTATGTCTGTCCATTTTTCAGTGCTGTCCAATAGAAATTTCTGTGATGATGGAGATGTATTGTATCTGTGTCATCCTATATGATAACCACTAGCATGTGTGGCTATAGAGCACTTTAAAATATGTCTAATGCAAATGAGAAATTATTTATTTGAATTAATTTATTTTTCAGCACACACAGAGATGGGTATTGATGGTATGAGCCCTCAAGAACTTAAGGTCTACTATGATAAATGCCTGATAGAGGGCAATATAGGGTGCAAGGAGAATATCAAGACAAGCCTACTGAATTCACCAGCAGGACTGGCTTCTACAGCCATTATTATCCACCTAGAATTTTCCTTCTTACCCTCTGGTGGAATGGTAAAACAACTTTAGTAAGGAAGCCATACCTTCTTATGTTCATATGTGAGCCTCAACTTGCTTTTTTCATGCCCCAAAGGGAAACTCCACAAGGCAGATTGTGAAAACACAATATTATGTATTAAGGGGGTTCAGAAAATAAATGTGGCTTTTAGATTTCATTTTTTATGAAATTAGCTACTGTTATTTTTTATAACATTTTTTCATTATTAAGGTATAACATATGTGTCTTTATTGGCCCATTGTACCCCCGTCCCCCAACCCACCACTCATGCCCTCACCTCCCTGTTGTC